TCCCCTCTCCTCTCTCTCAGCCAGTAAGGGAAAAAGGAAAGGGTGCAAAAGCCAATGAGAACTTCCTAGCTCTAGGTTAGAGAAATGTGCTCAACAGGGAAGACTAGATCTGGACTCTAGTTAGCGTAGCCTCAAAAAGAAAGGGGAAGCCCCGCCCTCACTTGCTTCTCTCCAAGAGCAGCCTCAAACTGCAGGAGGGGTCTTTCAGTACTCAGGACCCAGAGTGATCCTAGCCCGCGCATTTCGCGCCTAGCGAGTGTATTTCTCACCCTGGCGGCCGCCACCCCCCCTGCTGTAGCGCCCACCCACACAGCAACTCCGGGTGTCGGTCTGTCTGTTCCTAAAGCTAATTTATTGGTCCAACCCTCCATTATCATTTTCAGCTTCCTAATTAATCAAAGATAAAAGGCAATGGCGCAAATTACGATTATGAGGGACCTGGAAGACGGTTTTGAATAAAATGGGAGAAGTGAAATATGATTAATTGAACGACATGGTAGTGAAATCTCAAGAGCGAGCAACAAGCCCCAGAGGGGCAAACCCTGATTCTTGCAAGCTGACCCAAACAAGGGGACCGGACCTCGGCGAGGTCACGTGGGTTCGAAGCCTGGAAGGGAAAGAGCTGGGTTTCAACTCGAGCTCCTAACCTACCTCAGCGCCTCCGTCCATCCAACCGCTTCCCTACCCCCACCGCAGTGCCGACCGTCCCGTCCAGTTTCTGGACTCCTGACTAAGGTTATACCACAATAATGAACGTGCATCCCAGTGTCCCGTTTTTCTCCTCTCACTGCTTCTTTTTGGCCCTTTCACATTCCTTTACCTTGGCCAAGGCTTCGTGGAATTTCAGAAAAGCACGTCCATAGGTCAGAGATAGCACGGACTCATGTAAGGGATCAACAGAGCGCTTGTCCTGTGCTGCTTTTCAGAATTATGCTCAGGATTAAAAGGCAGACACCGCGCGGGCTCACAATTTGCACTCGCTGGTCGTTGTGATTAATGTTTCCGAGGGGATTTATTCTGAGAGCTTATGGAACCTGTTCCCGGGGTCTAAAGCCCCGCGGCTGGGGCGCAGCGGCCCCGAGGGCACTGTGGGCACGCGCCGGGACACTTGGGGATTAGAGGGGACGTCAGATGGGCGCGCAGGGGCGAGGCACCGCGGCCGTTAGTGCGTTTTCTCCATCCCTACCCCCAGCCCCAGCTTTGGTAGAAACAGAGAAGACTGGTCTGGGAGGTCAAATTTAGGTCTTCGGGGTGCCTTCGTAAAGGGAGGACTCTGTGGGACGTCCTGAGTGTGTTGGGAAGAAGGAGCTCAGTTCTGGGAGACTAAACTTCACGTATTGTTGTCCAGCAAGAGGAAACCGGAGCTCCGCATTCTGAAGATGCGCGGCTCCCCACTATAACACACACTCCCAAGTCAAACACTCCATTTCTCTCATCGTCACCAGAGGACCAACCCCAACTTCTCGGGTTGTCATACTCCCGGCTGGTTGGAGGCACCGTACAGAGCAACAAGTCTGGGCAGGAAACCCATCACCCTGCACATCACCTCCCAGGGCGGACAAAATCTTCCTAAGCCACCGTACGGAGTGAATGGGGAACATTACCGAAATGCAAATTACCGAAATGTTAGGGTGGAGGCGAGAGCAGAAAGAGAACCGGGGGTGGGGGTGGGGTGGGGGAGAAGAGGAGGAAGGAGAGGAGTTGGGGAGGAGAGGAGAGGGGAGGGGATGATAGGGGTTGGGGAGGGAAGGAGTTGGGGAGGAGAGGAATTGGGATGGGAAGGGGAGAAGAGGAGAGGAGAGGGGAAGGGAGGAGAGAGGAGCGGAGGGGAGGGGAGGGGAAGGGAAGGGAAGAAGGGAGGAAAGGACAGGAAAGGGGAAGAGAGGAGAGGAGAGGGGAAGAGGGGAAGAGAGGAGAGAGGAGGGGAGGAGAGGAGAGGGGAACAGAGGAGAGAGTAGGGGAGGAGATGAGTTGGGGAGGGAAGGAGTTGGGGAGGAGAGGAATTGGGATGGGTAGGGGAGAAGAGGAGAGGAGAGGAGAGGGAAAGAGAGAGAGGAGGGGAGGAGAGGAGAGGGAAGGAGAGGAGAGGGGAGGAGAGGGGAGGGGAGGAGAGGAGTATGGAAAGCGAGTGAAGGACAGTGAGAAGAGAAGAAAACTGGAAAAGTGGGATGTCTCTCCAGGTGGTGGGCATTACCACTCTCGGGCGGAAGGGGGCGTCCTTCCAGGGCCGAAGCGGCTTTCGGCTGCGCGGGGCGCGGCGCCTGGACACAGTCTGACTCCCGAGCGGGTTCTGGGTGCTGGGCGCCCTCTCCTGGCTGCTGTGCAGCGGCTCTGGGCTGTCCCCTGGGTGGTCCAGCCGGAGCCCCGCCCTCGACTCGCTGGATGTTGGGTGGGGGCGGGGGTGGGGAGGAGGAAGGTCAAGGGAGAGCGCGGGTGGTCGCCTGGGGCAGGCTGGGGCCCGCGTCCCAGTGCGCACCCGGGCTTCTTACCTGCGGAATGCGGGGCGCTCAGTCCCGGCCAGCGGACTTCTCAAGTCCCGCGCTCCGGCACACCGTGGTCCCGCCCGGATCCCCGCCGAGGCTCTCGGGTCTGGGCTGGGCTCTTCAGCAGCAGCTGGGAGGGAGCGACTGCCGGCTGCTGCGGGGCGGTGTCGGGGGGCTCGCCAGCCGAGCGCAAGGAGCGGCCATCTGGAGCCCGGCGGCGGGCGGGGCGCGGGGGCTAGGGACCGGCCCTGCCTGCGGGACCCGAGGCCAAGGGCAGCGGCCCGCGCGTGGGAGCAGCGCCTGGCTGGCAGCGGCGCCTTGTGGCCTCAGAGCTGGTAGCGGTCGTGGGAGGGCGTGTATGGGGAAGGTATGGCTCCTGGGAGGATCCGAGCTCGGCCCTCCTCAGGTAGCCCAGATTCGGGGCATCCCCCCTGGGGTAGATGTGGCGGAAGCGTTGCGGACAATCTAGCATCCCGTGAGCTCAGCGGTTCTGCTTCTAGGGTGGAGACCCTCACCCCCCAGATAGAGATCCGCTGTTGGTCTAAAATCTCTAGTTTCCCTTGCCTCCCAACATCGTCCATCCTACTCGAGGAAACATCCCCTCCCCTCAAAAGACGTGTCTCTTGGACACCTCCACACTTTATCCAGAACTTGAGACAGACGCTGGGCAAGGTATCAAGGTATCTTCCTTGGGGAAAATGGTCTTTAGTTTCCCAAGGGTGGTGGCGGCAGAGGGAAGAACCGAAGGGGCCGCCGAAGCGTAAGAAGCTCAGTGCACATTTAACATGGGGGTGGGGGATGGGGTGGGGGTGGGAAGTGTGGCGTCTCCTCTCCGCTCCCCTCATTTCAGATCTCCTAGGCGCTTTCAGTTTCTTCTATACACTTCTAAGAGGTTTCTCTAGCGATGCCAGCCGACAGCAAACTCGAGGAAGTAGAAGACAGGCGATGGTGTGCAGGAGGCCAGGGGACACATTCCGTGAACTCAAGTCTCTCCAGTTTAGAGCTGTCTCTTAGACATCGTCAGGTTTATAGTCTTACAGTAACACAATGGGAGCGGATGGGGCTTATGGACAGTGAAGGGTAATTCTGAATTAAAAAAAAAAATGAAATAAAGAGAAGACAGACCCATTCCTACCCCAAGGCATTAAAAGACACCCCCCACCCCCAGCTGTCTCGTGTCCGGCAGAATGGCATTATGTAAAAGACCTGGCATGTCACCCAGTGGCACATCTGGTAGGTGTAGATGGCATTCATTAGCACGGGGCTCCCACTCTGCGGCATGCCAAAGCTCTGACAGAGATGCCCGCTGCCAATCATTCATTCGCTGCCAATCCCAAAGCGCGGCCGGGTGGGATGGCTCCCTTCCACACTGCCATCAGGACCGGAGGAAACAATGTGTTGAGACACGAAGAGATGAAAGCGGAGCTGAGGATGCTAGGCACCCAGCAGATGCATCCCGTGAGGAGATAACCAGGGAAAGAGTCGTTTAGCAGGAAAGCATATGCAGAATCTCAGGAGGGAGGCTTGGGCAGGGGTGTGCCTCACAGCCTGCGGCTGAGTGGGGGGAAAGGCAGAGGAAGTCCTTAGAAAATCTGGAGGTTGAGGTTGCTTCTCTGAAAATGCCCAGAGACCCACAGTCTAACCTTAACTGCAAGGCGTCTTTGACTGCGGTTTGTGTCTTGTACCTTTGTCTATCCAGAAACCCGACTAGGTCTGAAAAGATCGACTTCTCTGCCTTGGTGGCGACCCTTGAGTATCAAGAAAGAGTGCCTTCTCGTTTTGAACTTGTATCGCTCAGCCCAGGGCTTGGTAAGGCGGCAGAGGGACGCCGAGCCCACTCTCCTGAAGGGCAGCAAAGGCCTTGCTTCAGTTCCTAGACTTGCGCAGCAGACAGGGCTGAACAAAACCAGGGAACTATTTGGGAGGAAAAGGAAAGTTAAACATAGCCGTGTGCAAAGGTTGTCTTAGACTCAGGTGTTTGGTAGGTCGTCAGCCTATTGTTTTCCTTTTGACATGCACACTTTATAAACATTATTGTATCCATTCCATATTTAATATAGCTAATAACACAACCAGGGCATATATCTTTTTAAAAGATTTATTCATTTTGTTTTGTCTGAGTGCTCTGTCTGCATGTACACCTTTATGTCAGAAGAGGGCATCAGATCCCACTTTAGATGGTTGTGAGCCACCATGTGGTTGATGGGAATTGAACTCAGGACCTCTAGAAGAGCAGCCAGTGCTCTCAATCCCTGAGCCATCTCTTCAGCCCCACCAGGGGTTATTTTTAAAGAGTTTGTGGCACTCAGTATAAAGTACAATGAAACTTTTTATTTTGCTTTTAATATGTTGGCTTTTGTTCACAATGTAACTAGCATACATGTTATGCTTTTAAAATATACACTATAAAAACATTTGGCACAAACTAATTGTGGTGGTTTGAAAGAAAATGGCCCCCAAAGAGAGTGGCACTATTAGGAAGTGTGGCCTTGTTGAAGTAGGTGTGGTCTTGTTGGAGGAAGTGTCACTGTGGAGGCAGGCTTTGAGGTCTCATATATGCTCAAGCCATGTCCAGTGACATGTAATTTCCTGTTGCCTGCAAGGTGTAGAACCCTCCACTAGCTCTCCAGCACCATGTCTGCCTGCACACCACCATGCTCCCTGTCATGATGATAATGGACTGAACCTCTGAACTGTGAGTGAGTGAGCCACCACAATGAAATGTTCTCCTTTATAAGAGGTGCCATGGTCATCGTGTCTCTTCACAGCAATAGAAACCCCAACTAAGACAGAGATTGGTACCAGTGTGGTGGGGTGTTGCTGAGACAGACCAGACCATGTTTTAGGGAGGATCGTGAAAGGATTTTGAAACTTTGAACTAGAAAAGCCATTGAGTGTTAAGAGCTCTGTGGGATATTCTTTAGTAACTTGGAAGATTAGAATGTTAAGAGATGTTAAGATGCAGAAGATGAGGCCTGGCTTGTGAAGTTTCAGAGAGAAGTTTAAAGACTCATTGGGGACATTTGTTATTTTGAATTAAGAATCTGTGGTTCTGGTTAGCTGGCGCTAAAGAATCAGCTGTGATTAACAAGATACCAGAACTATTAAAGCAAAACTTGGTTTTGCTGGGATAGTTGATGCTGGTCGGCTAAGCTAGAGCTAAGAATTAGTAGTGATTAAGAAGAGCATCATTGAGGTGAAATTTTCTGGAATGTGTTTCCTGAGAGCACAGAGAAGCTGTGTTCAGAGGTGGCCAAGGTTGTACCTCCTGTTGGCAGCCAGACTTGGTAATAATGTGTAAGAGTCACCCAGGTGGTACTGGTTTTGAAGGCATGAAGGGGTCATGGAGAGCAGCTGAGGCTTGGCACTGTGAGGGACCAGGAGAGGCCATTGGTGAAGGTGCAGCCTCAGTGGCAGTTGAAGGCCCAGGATGGAGGGGGTCAGTTTTACTGTCTGGTTTTGTGTTAATATAAGCTAGAGTCATCAGAGAGGAAGGAGTCTCAGCTGAGGAAATGCCTCCATTTGATCCAGCTCTAAGGCATTTTCTTTATTAGTGATCAATGAGGGAGGGACCAGCCCATGGTGGGTGGCGCCATCCCTCGGCTGGTGGTCCTGGGTTCTATAGAAAGCAGCTTGAGTGGGCTGGGGGAGCACGCCAGTAAGCAGCTCCCCTCCGTGGCTTCTGTATCAGCTCCTGCCTCCAGGTTCTAGCCCTGCTTGAGTTCTGGTTCTGACTTCCTACAATGATGGACTATGATCAGGAAGTGCAAGCCAAATAAACCCTTTGTTTTGTCACAGCAATAGAAACCCTAAGTAAGACATGGATGCTTCAAATTTATAATCGATGTATCAGAAATTCAAATTTAATTGGGTATCTTATTTGCTATATAGAAACATTATTTAACAACCGTGGGTGTGTTGGCCCATGGTCACAATATAACTACTATAACTCCAGATGTCACATTATTAGTTTAAGGTTAAAGAAAGGGATGGGGTCAAGAGCTCTGGCTGTTTCTTTCCCTCAGCCAAGGAACTGCTTTGTTTCCATGAATAGGCTCTGAGTCACACGGCCATAGATACCAGCTGAGAAAAACTAGTCTTCAAAGTGGAAAAAAAAAATAGGGGTGATGAGGGTTTTGACAAGGGTGATGGGCTACAAAGAGAACCCTTAGAAATGGAAGGATAAGAGAATTAATGTCAGCAACAAGCAAGAATAGATTACCAAGTTTTATAGGATGGGAGCTTTGGAGGAGAAGGCCAATACTGAGAGGTGACTGCTTCCAGAGAGACGGTGAGTGGTATAGGAAGGTGGGGTTTAGAGCGCAGCCTCCCCGTATCTGTCTTCCTAGGGCCTCGTTTCATGTTAATGGAGACTATTGACCAAATCTATTGGGAAAGCAGCTGCAAGATGCTGGAATCTGGTGATGCGTCTAGATGACATGACTTCTGGGGCGGGGGATGCTGAAGAATGCTCTCGGGGCTGAAGAATGGCCTGCACAATAGTATTACTACCTATGAATAAAATGCTCTGAGAGCCTGTAAGGCACATGTAAGACCTAGGGTGAACAACCCTGGTCAGGAGTGGTAAGCAATAGAATGGCAGAAATAAACCACGAATGGAGTAGTGATAAGCTATGCGTGGGAGTAGGGGTAAGACTAGAAACCTACCCAGCAAGGGGTTTAAAAGATGAAGCCTCCGACATGACCAACAGAGCTCATCAGACCCTCGAGTGAGACGACTTTTCCTCTGCCAGAGACATGAGATCCTGTCCTCAGCGCAGACGAGGTTGACCACAGGAAGGCTGACCCAAGATCCAGAGGAACAGACGTGACGAGTCCAGACCTATACACCTGGAGAGGTACTCCCGCTTCCACTTGGAAGACGGGATAAATATTGCTTGTAATCTTATTGTGTGAATAAATGAGTGTTATACCAAGTCTGAATCAACAGTGATTCTTCCTCCCACCGGGGGGATGTACTCGCCACAGAGCCCTTTTTACAAACTCCTTTTGAGGAACAGTTCTATCTGGAGGTAATTTTTGTTTGTTTGTTTTTGAGGTAGGGTTTTGTTGTATAGCTCAATCTAGCCAGGAACTCTCCGTCTTCCTAGTGCAGCCTCCAAGTGCTCAGATCCTAGACCTGCACCACTCTCCTGATATGGAGGTAAAAATCTTAATAGGTTTTGTAAACTGAAGCATGCAAGTGGTTGTTTTTTTTTTTTTTTAAGTCTTGGGTTGTGTGTGCATTTGTGTGTATGCATGTGTGTACTTGCATGTGGAGGCCAGGAGTTGATGTTGATGGTCTTCCTCAATCACTTCTCACCCTTTGGTTTTTTGAGATGGGCTCTCTCTCTCTCTCTCTCTCTCTCTCTCTCTCTCTCTCTCTCTCTCTCTGTCTCTCTGTCTCTCTCTCTCTCTCTCAGTCTAAAGCTGCTCACTCAGCTATCTGGCTGGCTAGCAAGCCCCAGACAGGATCCTCTTGTCTCCAGCTTCCCAGGAATGGATTAAAGGACCCCTGTCACAACGCCTGGGTTTTCATGTGGGTGCTAAGGATTCTGTCTTGGTTTCTTTCATGTTGCTATGATAAAATATCTTGGCAAATCAACTCTGGAGAGAAAGGGTTTATTTCAGATCA